TGTCACAGCCGCACCGCACACCTTGTGCGTGAGTCACAATCCTTGTCTGTCTCTTGCTGGAGCGTAAACCCCATGACAGGAGGGGCTCGGTCTGTTGCTCACCGGGACACGGGCACACACTGGTTTGTCCGTGTGAACACACGTGGGCACGGATGCAGGTACCCGGTCCTACTGGAGACGGCGAGTTACACCGGAGGCAGGCTCCGACCCCAAGTCTGCGGTGCCCTGTGGCCCAGCCTCTGGCCTCTCAGGCTGGGGGGAAACTAGGTCCCCCGGCTGTGGTGGGCGTGGCCTTTGCACGGGGATGATCCTGGTGCTGAAGATCAAGTGTGCTCTCAGCCTCCCCCCTGCGCGCAGGAAGGGGCGACCCGGCTGGGAGATAAGGACACAGGGAGGCTCATACATAGCAAGTTACAGCAGCGTCCGCTCGCCAGCCCGCCCGCGCGGTCACCCGCCCTGTCCACTATCGCCGTCTGCTCTGTGCCACAGCCTCCCCCAAGTGCCAGCAGTAACCATGAACCACCCGCTCAGCGAACTGGCTCGTGATGTTAGCCCCGCTTCGCTCTCCTGCCTTCTTCTGAACTTGCTCAGCACACTGTCGGGGAGCCCCGGGGCGCCCCCTCCCCCGGAACTTGCTGAGCTGACTATGTCAGGAGCCCCAGGGGCGCCCCCCGCAGCTGCAGTGAAAGATTTAAGGTTGAAAGTATAAACGACCTTTAGTGTTGCCTCTCTCGTTGGGAGACTTGGGGACCACGGCCTGGTGCGCACCCTGAACTTTGCTCGCTGTGACTTGTGTGTGTCTCATGGATTTTCCCAGTGTGCAGTGATGATTGCGTAAGTGCAGAGCCACACCCCAGGCCCTGAAACCTGTCAGCGCGCTTACATTTACAGCCAACTTCCTAGAATTCTCCTTTCTTTCCTCAGTCTGATGCCAAGCTCCAAATGGTGAAGACTTTATTTCCTCAATGTCCCTTTCACAGCTTTTCCTAGGAATGCAGGGAAACAGCCTCCCTTTCCCTGCGGGCCAGCTGCATGCCTCACGTGTGGTGCGAAATTCCCAGTCTGTGAGGGAAGCCCAACCTTAGAAGCACCTGGTGCAAAGGCCCTGGGGCAGGGTCCCTGCAGGGAAGCAGGTGGAAGGGTGGAGGGTGTGGGTGGGATGGCCGGGAGGGGGTTGTCAGTGTGTGAGAAGCCTGCACTGGAGAAGCTTCGAGGAACATTTTCGTTGTTCCAGCTGGACAGGCAGAACCTAAGAGAAGGTTCTGGAACACTGCAAGGAGGCCATTGTTCTTGTTCTTGCACAAAAACCCTGCCAGTGGGAGGGCCAACGGGGATATGTCAAGTTTGCTGTGGGTTCCCTGTGCCCCCGGGAACGGCCTCCTGAGCCACCTGCTCTCCCAGGCACGGCCTTCCCACGAGCTGCGGAGCTGGCCGTCCAGCTTCGTTCTGAGGGCCTCCTGGCCACGTTGTGGCATAACTTATGGCTGGTTCAGAGTTTCTCTCCCTTTTTTTTTTTTTTTTTAATATTTTTATTTATTTCTAGGAGAGAGAGAGAGACAGCGTGAGCAGGGGAGGGTCAGAGAGAGAGGGAGTCACAGACTGAAACAGGCTCCAGGCTCTGAGGTGGCAGTCAGCACAGAGCCCGACGAGGGGCTCGAACCCACGAACCGCGAGATCATGACCTAAGCGAAAGTCGGACGCTTAACCGACTAAGCCACCCAGGCGCCCCAAGAGTTTCTCTCCCTTTAATCCACAGGACACACCCCTTTTGAAAATAAAGCATGTTCTGTGTAAAACCGTAGCGATTCCTGGTTCCCAGCTCCTCCCATCCGGCTATTTCTGGGCCACTCTGAGAGAAGCCTTATTTAGAACACATGTGCGAGGGAAGACGTGTGCAGCCCCAGCTGGGCCGTGAGGTCTGTGCACACGACCTCGCTTCTCCCCCGCAGCGCGCTCCCCTCGCCCTCGCGCGGTCAGCGCGTTTCCCTAAGACACACGGGAGCCGGAGGCCACACTGGCCGCTGGGAACACGGGGACAGCAGGGGACCGGGTCCCGTCTCCTGGCCCCTCCCTCCAGAGCCCCTCACCCCGACCGCGGGCGGCCTCCATGCCAGGCTCCCCCCCCTCCTGGGGTTTCTAGGTCCCCTCCCCCACCCCCCACTAGGGCTGCGGATCTCATACCTCATCGTGGTGGGGGGAGCACAGTCCTCCAGTGTATAAAACAAACAAGCCGTTTGTGTGCCTTTGGAAGAGGTTTCATATTAATAAACTCTCACATCAGAAAGAGGCACTGTGTCTCAATTTTTAATGAGCCAGTATCGTCACCACATCTGTAACCCTGGCTGGACACCCGTCATCTGTCCCTGGACTTTTCCAGATGCCTGTGATAGGTCCTCAGCGAGCTCCCAAGCTTTTAAAACCGGGGGCTGCATGACATCGTACGCCGGTTACACCGGTTGGTGCTGAATGCAGAGCGACGACCTCGAATGCGAGTGAGCAGATGAGCTACAGGTGCTCCTGGGCCCCAGGGCATTTGCACAGCTGTCTCCAGGCTGGAGTTCAGAAAATCGGAGCTAGCGATGTGGATAGCCCCGTCCTCTCACTGACGATTCTGTCTCTGACGTAGAAAGCACTGGCTTTGGGTCAGAACGACCTGGGTTAAGTCCCAGCCCCAACCCCTTGAAACTATCAACCAGGCCACCTCTCTCAGCCTCTCGGGGAACTGCTTTTCTCCCCAGCCCCTTCCTCCTCGTCTTTCTCTTCCCGAGTCTTCACACAAAAGTCCAGACTGACCGGGACGGTTTGGGCACGAGGTGAGGGCCCTTCCCCGCGCGTCCCGTCCCCGCGGGTTGGTAGAGAGAGTGGAGACCGTGAGGGGCCAAGGGCTGCCCTGCTGGGCCTGTCCCGGAGCCGGGCCACAGGAGGGCTGCCCGCAGAGGGTGCGGACACGGCGATCCTGGAAGGAAGGAAACCTCAACGTGAAGTTCAGCACGTGCTCGCCGAGCTGTGAGCGGGGACAGGTGCTGCCTGGGTGGAGGGCCGGTGCCCCGGGGCGTCGTCTGGCTGCGGCGGGCCCCCCGGGGTGAAAGCCAGCTGGGCGGGGTTGGGGGGTGCGGCCCGGGCGGGGGTGGGGGAGGAGGGGGGCAGAAGCCCGGCTGGGCTCCGGGTCCGGGATATTGCTGCCGGCACCCAGGTAACATCTCTGAGGATGGGGCGATTTCCGGGGCGTTCTCCACGGCTGCTCCCGCCCCGAAAACATCACTGCCGACCGTGCAGATGCTTTCAGCTTTTGCTCATTGCTGAGTTGGGACGCTGTGCGGCCGAGCCCTGCTGGTGGCCGAGGGGCTCTCGGGGGACGTCCTGTGTCCCTGGCGCCAGGCCCAGGGACAGTCTTGGGTTGTTGACACCCTTCTGCCATCATGTTCTGTTTGAGGAAAACAGGTCACTTTGGCCAAGGCCAGCAGGGATCCTCGCTCCTGTAGGTGAGCACAGCAGCCTGGTCACAAGCAGCCTGTCACACGCAGCCTGTCACACGCAGCCTGTCACACAACAGCCTGTCACACGCTGTCTGTCACACGCGGCGCTGCGATGCTGACCTTCCCCGGAAGTGCCTGGCATGGTCCCCTCTGCCTCTGCGCTAGGAGCTTGCCTTCGGGTAATTACGTGTGATATAATTCAGCCAAAGGCCACAGCTCTCAGAGTGTGACACCCTAACCGTGGCTGTGAATGTGCTTAACAGTCCTTGAAGCAGAGCTGTGCTCATATGGTCACTATGCGAGGCTGCCGGATTCTAGTGATTCTAGAAGATTCTAGCAGATTCTAGCAGGGTGGGGATTATTTGAGAACTCAGGAAGTGCCCTAGGCCCCAGATGGCTGGGATTCATAGCATCTTCTAGTGAGCAAAGCTATTTCCTACTTATGAAGAAGGCCGACCTCAGAGGAGAATATTAGTTTGAGCTTCAGACAGTTGTTTGTCTCTCTCTCTTTTTTATATGAGAGAAAGACAGCCGGTCGTAACTCTCAGCACCTAAGTGGGAAGAACAAAACATGAGGTTCCCATTCCCTCCACTTCCCCTGTGGGGTCGCAGCCTTCAGTCTACGTGGGGCTCCGCTGGGAAGGAACCGCACACAAAATGCTTGTACGATATGCAGTAACTTCCTGAAAATGAGAGACATTGGAGCAGTCGGCACACCAGCTACACACACCGCCGCTGCTATGCGGGACGAGGGGCTGGAGGGGCTTCTGCCTCACGGTGCGGTAATTTAGAAACTGTACCACCTTCATACGAATTCTTCAAAATAAAAATCTTCATTTATTTTGTTTATTGAGGGGGGAGGGGGAGAATGGGGGAGAGAGAGAGAGAGACGGAGAGTGTGTGTGTGTGTGTGTGTGTGTGTGTGTGTGTGTGAGAGAGATAGAGAGAGAGAGAGAGAGAATCCCAAGCACAGAGCCCAACGTGCGGCTCGATCCCACAACCCTGGGATCATGACCTGAGCCAAAATAAAAAATCAGATGCTCAATCCACTGAGCCCACTAGGCGCCCTAAACGCCGTCTTCCTTACTGCTCACCCCCCACCCCACCCCCACCCGGCTAGGAAGGCGGGCCTTGCCTAGTATTGCCGCGAATGCGGGGCCGCCAGGAAGCCAAGCCCGGACTCCCGGGCGGCTGGAGCAGACACTTCTTTCCTTCCTGCGCGTCTGGAGGCCGCCCTGCTGGGGACGCTCCAGCAGCCTCGCATCGCAGTGCCGCACACAGGGAGGTGGCCACACGCTCAGAGAGGAGCCCTCCTGACGAGCTTCCCTCTCTGTGGGGAGGGAGGATGACCCAGCGTCGCCCCTGCCTGGGCGCACTTCCCCGGGTTCCGCGCCCGCAGCTGGCCCACAGGACCACGCGTGGCCGTGGCTGTGCCGTGGCCGTGGCTGTGGCTGCACTGCAGAGCCGTGGGCTATGGCGCCGGCTGTCAGCTGTGTGTGGATGCCAGTGTGGCCCTGCCCTCACCCGGCGGCGTCCACACCCCGTGGCCCCACTCATCGAGGGGCCCTCCTTCCCGGCCCTCGGATCCGGGCGGCCTCTGACTGCTGTGGCCGCGGACTGTGGGGTGCTCGCACACCCCTCGGAGCCCCACCGGCCCCTGTTCCGGCCGAGGGCGAGGCCCCCAAGGCCACCCGGCGGACCTGGCCGACACAGACGCACGAGGGTCCCCAGGTCCACGTCCCGGAACTTTCCAGATGTAGATCTGGTGTCTCGTCTCTTGGGTTGTCACTGCGATGGTGGAAAACCCACCGGAAGGCAATACCATCCCTCAGACACTCGTCGTCAGAGAATCTGAAAGTAGAGACGTGGGCAAAGCGGGGAAAACTGACGCTCCCGCCCACTGCGCAGAGCGCCCTGTGCTCTGAAGGTTTCCTAAGTGTATTTAGAGCAAAATTGAAAGCAAAACTCTCACAAGTGATAATTATTCCCCTGAGCAGTTCTGTGACCCTTTTGCCCTGGCGGCCAGGGGGCTCCTAAGGAAACGCTTGGCCCCACTTGCGGAAGGGGGTAGAAGCTTCTCCAGGGAAGTCCACTCTGCCTCCCGCCCGTGCCCTCGTACCGGGCGTGCGTTTCTTTCCCTTTACTTTGATTTCTGTATGTTTCTGTTTCAGAACATGCATTTTACATAAAGTTCGTCACATACGGAAAACAGCTTTGCTGAAAGAGGCTGAGTGAGCCGCACGATGGTGACGGTGGGCAGAGACTTACCGTCACTCCCGGAGGCTCGGTTTTACTTCCCCTTTGCGTCTTTATGTCACCTGTCAGCCGGGCCTTGGGGCTCAGGTGGGCGCTGCCCAGCGGTGCAGCCAGCAGGAGGGGCAGGGAGCACCGGCCTCTGGCCGAGGGGGTGGGCGGGCGGCGTGGGGGCAGGGCTGGAGGTCCGCGAAGTGAAGGATGAGAAGGAACTCTCTTGCTCTTGGAGGAGCTTCTGGAAGTTTCCTGAGGTCAGCTTGGAGAGTGTGGCTGTCTCAGTCCGCAGCGTCAGCGGCCCTGCCCGGAGTCCTGGCCGTGGGGGGGAGGGGGCGTCCCATCCAGGGAGGGCCGGCAGTGGGTCCGCCGGGGGGGAGGCCCAGGGCCACCGTGTCACCTTCCAGCACCGGCTGCCCCGGGTGACCTGGCGCCCGGCAGGCAGAGGAAGGCTGGACCCCCACCTTGCGCCGCTTCCGGACCCCAGGGGGGCATCCCCGCTCCACCCGCAAACTGAGCCTTGAGTTTCTGCGGCAGGAGGAGCCCCAGCCGCGGGCCCGTGTCCGGGAGGCTGGGGGGGCCTCGCAGGGAGTGAGGGGCTCCGCGAACCCTGAGCGTGTGGGTGCGGGGACCGGGCACCCGAACACCCCCCACCCCGAGGACGGGGGCGGCCGGGGGGGCGCCCAGGCCTGAGGCGCGGTCACGGGCGGGGGTGGGGTGGGGTGGGGTGGGGTGGGGTGGGGGGAGGGGGGCAGGGTCCGCTGTCAGCCAGGCCGCCCTCCGGCCTCACCGCCCCGCCGGGGCCTCTGATGCTGCCACACACTCAGCCCCCGCACACGCGCTCCAGAAAGTCACACGTACACCTCACACACCGTCACCTGCTCGTAAAGTCACACACCCTCATGTACACTCACACACACACAGTCACACCCTCACATGCTCTTAAAGTCACACACCCTCACACACTGTCATGTACACTCTCACACATTCAGAGAAACACACACACACACACACACACACACACACACACACACACCCCTCTCCCCTGGGACTGCTCGCTGAGCCCATACTCTGCACAGAGCGTGGATCTCCTGGGGCCCAAGCCTCCCGAGTGGTGTCTCTGGAGCGTCAACAGGGGGCCACGGGTGCGGTGCGGGGACGGGAACAGTGTCAGCCTCCACACACGTGTGGTCACAGCCCGGCTGCTGGGCTCCGGGAGGGGGTGCGGGGGACTCCCCTGCCCTGTGTCCTGTCCTGATGGGTGACCACTGTCCTCAGTCACGGGCTGTGGACATGCTGTGGGGGGTCCCGGGCCACGCGCTATGGGGGTGCCTGCTCTGGGACACACCGTGAGCTCTGTCACGTGGCAGGAAGTCTCATTCCTGGTGCGTCGTGTGCGTGTGTGTGATCCTTCAGCGGGATCGTGGGCTCTGCTTTTAAAACCCTGCATTTCACAGACCTCCCGTTGCTAACACCCTCTATGTTCTTTTTGATCCATGACGAGCAAAAAGAAAATAAATTGGATGTATCAAATATTCTGTATTTAGTGATGGCGAGTGTTTCCAGAGTGGAGTGTGTGTCATTGGCATTTTAGGAAATAACTTCAGGGAACACGTACTTCCTAAACTGTATTCATACTTTTAATAGTTATTTATTTTAATGTGTAGTAGGAAAGAGAAAACAGTGTAGACCCTTGACTTGGCAGTTATTTTTGCTGAAGAAAAAGCTATACTATGTTTTTAAGTAAAAACATCAGTTAATTTTAAGAAACACTATAAAGTAATGATGCTGCATGTGGTAAAAAAAAAATTTATATGGCAAAATTTTGGGGGAAATAGTAACGTCTGAGAATTGGAAAGCACGAACACAACATATTTCCTAACCGGAGAGCTATTTCTCAAGGCACACAGCTTTTATGTTTCCTCTGCGGTACTTTTATACCTGGTATTCTGTCACGTCAATATAACCAGTGTAAACAGACTAGATTTTCTTTGCTTTTATTGTTTTTGGCACTTCGGACGTCCACACATCCTATTTTAAATTATGGTGACTATATCTAAGTTTTTCAAATGAATTACTTAACATAGTTTTGAAGAAGCACATGAAGTGAGGGAGTGGGGTGTGTGTGTGTGTGTGTGTGTGTGTGTGTTTAGATTATGGAGGCCTATTTATTCTCCTCTATACTCTACATTCCTTTATAATCAACTTCTCGACTTAGTTCATTTAGTTGGTATTTCTGTTCCTGATTGATTTTTTGGTCATGTTTTTATTTTGTTGATTTTTTTAGAACTTGGTCGATTTAAAAGTTTTAAATTCTGGGGGCGCCTGGGGGTCTCAGTCGGTTAAGTGTCTGACTTCGGCTCAGGTCATGATCTCGCGGTTCGTGGGTTCGAGCCCCGCGTCGGGCTCTGTGCTGACAACTCAGAGCCTGGAGCTGCTTCAGATTCTGTCTCCCTCTCCCTCTGCCCCTCCCCCACCAGTACTCTATCTCTCTCTCTCTAATATAAATGTTAAAAAATTTTTTTTAATAAATAAAAGTTTTAAGTTTTGTTTCAACTGGTCACAGTGGTCTTGGCCAGTGACTGCATGGTGTGACGGTCACATCCTTGAGCAGATTTTTTCTACTAATCTCCATTGACTGACATGGATTTTCAAGTGAATGTTTCCAGGAATGTATATTCTTTGTAAATTCTTGTGGATTTGACAGGATTGCTGTTGTCTTTAACTAAATTCTTTTTTTAAAAAAATTCTAAGTACAAGAATGAGATTAAAATACACAAGCTGTTTTCACACGGGAATCAAAATTTGACTGGCTCTGAGTCTGACGATCATGGTTTTCCTTCTTCAAATGAAACGTCACAGGCGGGTTCATTACACGTGGGCCTGCGTGTGGTGCCGTAGAAATCCTTCCTGCACCGAGTTGTTTTCTCCTCTGAGTACTTACAGTACTTACAGCTCTGACTCTTACCGTTACCTCCGCGTGGGGTTATTTATAAGGTTAGGTGGCATGTATTTACACTGCTATTCACAAATCCTTATTTAGAGCTCGTAATCTCAATACCCGTGGAGACAAAAACCACAGATGTAATATTTCAGCAGGCCTAAGGGGCGCCTGGGTGGCTTAGTCGGTTGAGCGTCCGACTTTCACTTAGGTCATGATCTCGCGGTTCGTGGGTTCGAGCCCCGTGTCGGGCTCTGTGCTGACTGCCAGCTCAGAGCCTGGAGCCTGTTTCGGTCTGTGACTCCCTCTCTCTCTGACCCTCCCCTGCTCACGCTGTCTCTCTCTCTCTCCTAGAAATAAATAAAACATAAAAAATTAAAAAAAAAAAGTAATATTTCGATGGGCTAATAGTCCTGCTGAAAGACATCTTAAGGCAGAAATGCTGGGGTTTATGCAGAGGCCCATTGGTTTTCTGTCTGGGGGTGACACAGAGCCGGGAGAGGAGCCCCGTCTAGGTTCCCGCCGCACTGAAGGTCGGGGCAAGTTCGGGCGGTTCATCCCCAGAGCTCCTCGGGCTGCCGTGTGCATGGCTTCCCGGTTCCAGGATGGCGGGCCAGGGGGTTTGGGCCACGAGAGGAAATAGGTGGTGCCTTCAGCAGCAAGTCCCAGAAACTCTGACTCAAAGTGCTTTACAAGAGAAAAGGAAACGCATTACCTCACAGGAAACAGGAAGTGCGGAGTGGGTGTGGATGCGGAGCCATGAATCGGTGGTGTAACTGGGCTCGGCTCTTGCTCCCAGCCGGTCCGGCCTGTTGTCCGTGGCTGGGGCGGGTCTCCTCACAGCCTCCGCAGCCGCAGGGGGGGGCCATCCCTCTGAGGTGTGACGGGCTGTCCCACACGGCACCCAAACTGTCCCCAGAGGAGGCACCTGCTGGTGCCTGGTGCCGGGAGGTGGTCCTGAACCCAAGCCCGGGGCCAGGCCCGAGGCCCAGCTCACAAAGACCCCGGCGGAGACCCCGGCCCAGGCTGCGCGGCCTGCCTCCTGCCCCGGGGAAGGGAGGTCTGGGGGAGGGAGACAAACTGTCAGGTCCGTCAGCAGAAGGGGGCCCTGTGATCAGGAGGGGGGCCCCCTCTGTGTTCCCAGCAGTGGAGACCAGAGCGCAGGCTCCACGCAGGCCGGGGCCTTGCAGCCAAAGAGCAGGCACTTGGGAGAGCAGGATCCGGAGTCCAGACGGCACCCAGGTGGGGGGCGGGGTGTGTGTGTCCCACGGTCTATCCCCCCTGCGGGCTGCAGGGCTGCTCGTGAAACTGTGACTCCTGGAAACACGGTCCAGGTGGGTCTGCCTGCCACCCAGGCCGCCTTCCCCTGATGCAGACCCATAAGTGCAGTGGGTGCAGTGGGTGCGGGGGCAGGGGGAGCGGGGTGTAGGGTGAGCAGGGAGGGGGGGTGCATGCAGAGCGGGGGCAGGGTAGGTGCAGGGGGTGGAGGGGGCCCAGGGGGCCCAGGGGCAGGCAGGGGTGGGGTGCAGGGGGTCAGGGGCAGGCACGGGAGGGAGCAGGGCACTCAGGGGCAGGCAGGGGAAGGAGCAGGGCGCTCAGGGGCAGGCAGGGGTGGGGTGCAGGGGATCAAGGGCAGGCAGGAGTGGGGAGCATGGGGGCACAGGGGCAGGGGTGGGTGCAGGGGGCGCAGGGGCAGGCAGGAGTGGGGAGCAGGGGGCACAGGGGCAGGGGTGGGGTGCAGGGGGCGCAGGGACAGGCAGGAGTGGGGAGCAGGGGGCGCCGGGGCAGGCACGGGAGGGAGCAGGGGGCGCAGGGGCAGGCGGTGGCGTGGTGCAGGGGGCGCAGGGGCAGGCAGGGGTGGGGTACAGGGGGTGCAGGGGCAGGCAGGGGTGGGGAGCAGGGGCAGGGGTGTGCAGGCTGCCCCCTGCTCCTTCCTGCATCTGGGGGAGGTGGGGAAGTGCCACGGCACTGGAGGGGCCAGGCTACACCATGTGTCAGCACCCAGGGGACCCTCTCCACACAAGGGCACAGAGCCTCCTGCGTGAAGGGTGCTTCCGGGGGTGGAGACAGGAAGGGTCCGTCTGCGTCCACACCGCTGGACCCTGCCGCATGGCATTTCCTGAGGGCGTTCCAGGTGGCTCCCCGGAGGCCTTGGTCGCCGCGCCCCAGCTTCCTACTCGGCCCCTCTGGCTGCCCTGGACCGGCCCCCCGGCCCCCCGGCCCCCACACCGCGGCTCCTGCCGCCACTTCCTTCTCGGCCGCTGCCGGGCACGTCCAGGCACGTCTTGCACCAAACTCTCGAGAGGCCGGGCCGTCAGTGACCGTCCCGCCGTCGCCTCCAGGCTGCCCACCACTCAGACCCCTGTTGCTGACGCCCCCCGGGTCCAGAGGCAGACGGCCTCGGTGCCCACCTCCGCCCCGCGCGGCCCGGCCCCGCGGCCTGGCAAGCTCTGTAGTCTCGATGCTGTGCCCTGGGAAAGAGGGGAAAAGACTCGTAATCTTAAGGCAGCGCAGGAGTCATTCATCTCGACAGGGACGGGGACGTGGCTGAGACAGTTCTGGGCCTGACGCACGTGGCGGTTACTCTTCCCCTCGCGGTGGAGGGCAGCGTCGAGGGAAGGCGTAGAGAGGGCTGCGGGCACTGGAGGCTCCCAGGTGCCCGTTGCCGAGCTTGCTGGAAATTAACGGCCTTTAGTCCTAAATCCTAAAAGAAGAGACAGAAAAAAGAAGACAGAACATCCCTATAGCAAGTCAGTCCATCCACACTTGGGGTAACAGCCCGGAGCCCGGCTCCTCACTTCCCCAGATGGCCTTGCAGAAAGACAGACAGTGGCCTGGGACGGCGGGACGGCGGGACGCACCCCGGTACCGACCGCTTACGACCAGGTGGGCACCCTGTTGTTCACCCATTAAACAGGCACCCCCAGCGGTCACGGGTGTCTGCCTGTGGGACCATGACGGGCATGGAGAAGTGACACGGTCTCAGTGGTTTTCTCTATCATAGTAACAATAACTACACAACACTATGAAAAGCCCAGTCAGTTTTGGATTTCTAAGTGCTCTTATATGAATATTCAAGACGAATTCTCCCCCAACACAAAGAGAAACATTTGCCAAGTGTGCCTCTTGCAGCCCACGTGCCCCCCCCCCCCCCGAGAAAGACCAAAACATCAAAAAGGAAATGAGCACTTGGCTGTGTTGCGCCAGTGCCAGTGGCCGTAATCCTGAAGCTTCGGGGGGATAAGTCGGCGTACGCCCAAGGCGCCGGGGCAAATCCTTTCTTAATAAAAGGAACAGAGCAATTTTAAAACTCACATAAAGGTAACTTCATATTAAGAAATATCCTCACTCTTTCGCTTTTCTCTGTCTGAACGATAAGTACGGGCTAGTCAAAAAAATGAAACAATAGAGAAGGGGGGGAAATGGGAAAGCGAAAATCTCCATAATATCCACAGTCCTGCCCACATCCCGTCTAAGAACCACGGTCGGTGCCCGGCCACCACCCTTGTGGATTTGTGCCTCCATGGATTCCGAGACAGCCCATGCAGGGATTCTCGTGAAAATTGGGTCACGCTGTACCTGCGACTCTGTTACCTCCTTTTTACTTTATAATCTGCTTTAGACACTTCCCGCGTCACTGGCCCTCCCCCACCGCGTTCTCTCTGACGGCTGCGGCGGGCGGTCCAACCTTGATGGACTCACCAACCCCTTGTTGCTGGACATTTGAGTTTTCCCCAATTTTCCCTGGTATAAGAAACGCTGCAGTGAGTATCCTTGTACACACGTCCTGTGGACTTTGGTGAATCTTTGGACACATTCCTAGGAGTGACTATGTCCTCAGGCCCCCGGTGCCCCCGAGGAGGGTGGCAGGGGCCAGCAGTGTTCAGGGATCTCCTAGGGAGCAAAGGCTTTGCTTTGTCCGGGCACCCCCCACCCCCCAGTGTGGAGGCTCCTGCCCCGCACAGGCCCGCCCCCCGAGGGCAGGGGAGAAGCGACCCACGAAAGGCGCGCTCTCCTACTCCCACACTCGAAGCATGAGCTCCCTGCACGAGGAGACCCTGCAAATGCAAGACGCAAGGCGCCCCCTCTTCCTCCGCGTCTTGAGCAGTCTCTCTCTCAAGGCTCCGCACTTGGACCATCTGAGTTATTTCCTCGGGGGCACCGATCCCCAGGTCGCAAACCTGATGCGGATCTGTGGCGGAGCCCTGGAAGTCCGTTTCCAGAGGATTCGACCACGTTGCGCACACGGCTCCGACGCTGCTGGGCATCTCACGGGTGAGGGGACTCTGGATTCACCGCGCTCCTCACCTGCTTGGACTCTCCGCCTCGTTTCGGTATTTCTGCTTGCCATGGTTTTCCTCACCTTTTTCACATTTAGTTTTCTGTCTTTATGAAACGGTCGAGTTTCCTTTGTCCCCTTCCTCTCCAGAGGCTCCAGGTTACAATTCTCGACGAGTTCTCACAGCGCGTGCACTAGACAGCACGTACACTAGACATCGCGGCCACTGTGCGCCGCCCGGCGGGGCCCACGATGACCCATACCCGTCCCACCCCAGAGGACCTGAGGACGTGGGAGCGCCTGAGAGTGTGTCTCCGGGCTCGTCCTCCGTGCTGCTGGCCTCGCTCCGTATTGTCGTTACGGTTCGTGTTGTGACAGGGTTATCGATTTTACCGTCAATGTTGATTTACATTAATCACTAGCTTTACACATTTCATTGTGCATCATTCTACCAAATCCTACGTCCCTTCTGGTCCTTTCTGCTTACTGGATGAAGTTCTCCATGGTCATTTCGGCGGGGGTTACAAGTGGTGAGCTCCCAGTCTTTGTCTGGAAACATCTTTCTCTCTCGCTCTTGAGCAAGAGTTTCAGCAGTTTCCTGAGAATTTGGTCAGTCTGACTGTCAGTTATTAGTGTGTGTGTGTGTGTGTGTGTGTGTGTGTGTTTTGTTTTGGTGGTAGTAAGTCTTTTCTTTTGTTCTAATATTCGGTCTCTGACCTTGGTCTGTGGCGCAGCGCGTCTGAAGCCCTTGGGAATTCCTAAGGGAGAACACTGGAAGCATCTCAGACTCTTGTGCGGCTCCCGGTGGGACTCCCGGCTGAGGTGTGGTCACCGAAGGAGCCACCTTGCTAAGAAGCTTGGGGTTTTCCGCCCCACCCCGTCCTCCAGAGAGGGGAGGGGGCTGGAAATGGAGTCAATGCTGGTGTCTGCGTGGTTGGCGAACGCAGAGATCTGGGGAGAACGACTGGGCTCAGAGATCACGGAAGCTTCTGGCCTGCGCTCCTCTCCCACCCGGCTGCCCCTGACTTATGTCCTATCCTAGGAAACCAGTCTTCCAGCAGGTGCAGCGATCCTCTGGGTCTGGGAGCTCTGGAGCAAATCCATCAGGTGAGCCAAACCCAGCAGGGGCCGTGGGGGCCTCCCGTCTACAGCCAGCCGGTCAGCAACACAGGTGACAAACTGGACGTGCGGCTGGCATTGAGGGGGACAGTGTGCGGGAAGGAGCCCCTGACCTGTGGGGTCTCGTCTGAGAGCGAAGGAGAAACACAGGAGGAGGAGTCTGTTTTTCCCAGACACGTGTGGCCATGACTCCTTTTAATTATCCTGCTTGGCCCAGAGGCCCATGTGTCGCTTTCTTCAATTCGGGAGCGTGTTCAGCCATTAAGTCGCCTTCCGTCTCCCTCCTGACTCGTTAGGGCGTGTGTGACAGACACACCCTGGACCCCAGGTCCTACCCACCATGTCTCTTCGTCTGGCCCATTTTCTCCTGGCCTCTGAGCTCCATCCAGGCGATTCTCTCGGATCCGCCTTCCCGTTCACTAATTCGCTTCTCTCTCGTCTGTTGTCTAACACGGCCCTTGCGTTTGGGGTTTCCTTCGCTGTGCTGTCCTCCTCTGGGAACCGTGGGCGGGGCGCCGGGGTCTCCCTGCGGGTGCTGTGCTCAGCCTCAGGGGCTGGCTCTTCTGGGTGGGGGCCAGGTCTGCCCGGAGGTGTCAGGGGGGCACCTGGGTTAATTTTCCCCTTTCCTTTCTATGTCTTATGCCCCGATGTCTGTTTTACTCATGAGCAGCTTCTCTTTCCCAGGCCGAGTTGCATCCCTGTATTTCTCGTGGATTGTGAACATCCGCATGCTCCCCGCTCTCTCTCCTCCCTCCCCCTGCTTCCTCCCCCTCTTTCCCCTGTAAGGACATTTGATAGGAGGATCTTTGTTGGATTTGCTGACCGTTCATCCTCGGATGGGGAGGTTCTATTCTGGCCTATTTTCCCAGCAAGGCCGTCATTGGTGTTTCTCCATACGTGCTTCTGACCACATGGACCGTATTTGAATGGCCTCCTTGAATCAACACCCAAGGGCGATCTATTCCTAATTCATAAGCTGTGGTTGACGTCAGCTCTCTGGGGGGAGGGGAGCAGTCCTGGCAGCCGGGAGCCGGGTCTGGCGGTCCCTCTGATGGAGCCCCTCAGTCCTCTGTCATGGGTTGGAGTTTCCCTCTTGGGGGAAGCCAGGGTCATTCGCGCTTTCGCGGCTCACAGCTCTTGGTGGGGAGAGTTTCCATTCAGTGTTTCTGCTCAGGTCACTCTGGTCAGTTTCTGCGAGTGGACTTGCCGGTCATACTCACCGCCCTCAAGGGTTAGGGCGACAGTGTTTCAGGAAAGGCTTCAGTTTATGTGGATAAGACCCTAAGACTTATATTTAGAACAGCTGAGCATTAGGATAAGAATATGAATTAACTTTGTTAAGACGATCTCACACCACGTGTACAGTGTGGTATTTTAAACTCGACCTTTGTCCTTCAGGGATGTGGGCAGAGAACTCGATGTCAGAGCCCAGGATGCTCCAATCTGACGCTTCCCTTAGACGACGGCTCGGCCTCGTGCCCCGGCAGCCTCAGGACCACATCGCGACATGGCCAACAGCAGACAGCCTGTTGTGGGTCCCGAAATCTATTCTGGGGTCGTGCAGACTGCCGCGCACAGCAGGGGGAGCGGGGGTCCCCGAGCTCTGTTCCGATGCGCTGAAGCACCGGCAGAGGCTGGGAAGCAGGCCTGACTCGGAGCAGACCTGCCATTTACCCCCTAACAAGGCACATGAGAAGTGCCGGCCTGCGACCGGGAGACGGAGCCCTCCAGGCGGGCTCCGCGCCTCCTCCCTGCTGAGCAACATATCCTCACAAGCCACAGCAAGTGATTTCCCATCTAAGGCCCCTCATTGGCTGTTGACCCAGGAGATCTGGTGGGTGGGTCAGCGATCAATGAAGGCAGGTTTGCAGGAACACCCGCATCTGGTGGGGACAGCGGCCGCGAGGTCCCCAGATCACGCCGCCTGCAGCTACACCCTGGCGATCCTTGTGCAAAGCAATCCCACGAAGGGACAGAACGCGCCCGGTGCCCGATCATGGCTTTTCCTGTTTTCTGACCTGTGGGGTGGGGAGCTGGGGCCGCCTGTGACCTGGGGCCGAGGGGCTGTCGGGCAGAGGGCTCCGCCTCCGCCTTCGGGGCCTCCGCAGCCCAGGGCCAGGTTTGGGGTCTTCCACAGGAAAGGAGGCCAGGAACGTGGACTTCATTTCTGTGCGCGTTGCCCAGAGACTCAGAAGGGAACGCTAGCTGCCTTCTGTGCGGTGGGACACTCCACGTGGCTCCTGCTCCTGGGCTGTTGGCCCGAGCTCCTGGGGTGTCACCCAGACCTGGGGTCTTCCCCCCCCGCCCCCCGCCGCGGAGTGTCGGGTCAGCCCGGGCTCAGTCACAGCGCTGTCTCCCTCAGGCCCAGTGGAAGCAGCAGCCTGGCCCCGGTTCCTGTAAAATCTTCACACCCTCCGGGGTCCCAGCACCTGCGTCCGATCTCGCTCTGGAGACGCCCACACAGCCACCGTTGCCATGGAGATGCCGCCTCTGCTGGAGGTCACCAGGGATCCTGGGGCAGAAGCCTCGGGGACACAGAGGGGCTCTTGGGGGCTGCCGGGCCAATGAGGCAATGTTCTTCCCCATCTGGAGATGTCTCCACAATTAGGATTTCTGGTGAGGAGGGGCGCCTGGGTGGTTTAGTCGGTTAAGCGTCCGACTTTCGCTTAGGTCATGATCTCGCGGTTCGTGGGTTCGAGCCCCGCGTCGGGCTCTGTGCTGACTGCCAGCTCAGAGCCTGGAGCCTGTTTCAGTCTGTGACTCCCTCTCTCGCTGACCCTCCCCTGCTCACGCTGTCTCTCTCTCTCTCCTAGAAAAAAAAAAATGTTAAAAAATGTTTTTGGAGATTCTCTTAACATGAAGAGGGTTCAAAGAGAGCTTGAATGCCCATTTTGTAATCAGGGAAGCTACAGTGAGTGGGAGATTTTACAAAAAGGAACGTAACTATTTCCTGGACAGAAGTAAACTTTCCTTCAAATAACTTCATCTGAATGCTTTTCCNCTGTCTCTCTCTCTCCTAGAAATAAATAAAACTATTAAAAAAAAAAAAGGATTTCTGGTGAGGAGAACGTGTCAGGATCAGAGCCGGAAGGAAGGGAAAAGAAAGCTCTCAAGGCAACTCAGCCAGACGGTGGGGACATCAGATGTGAGGCGAGAGCGGCAGCTTGGTGCCCAATTAACTGACCAGAGACACGTCCGCTAGAAAGTCGTGCCCCCCTGGAAAGTGGAAAACAGGCCGGCTTTTCTCTTATAAATCCCACCTGCCTCCTGCCATCCGGGGAGGAGCTACGTGGCCCGTGTCTTCCACGCGAGGCGCAGGAATGTGGGCTGGAGGAGGTGCGGATGGACCTGAGCTGCTGCCACCCCGCCGGGCCCCGACTGCCCTGCGCGAGCGGCCGGGGCGCCCGCCGCTCACTCACCTGGGGCCTCAGTGCCTCTCCACAGGACTCGGTCCCAGCAGCGCTGGCGTGGTGGCAGCGTCCACACTCAATCGCGTGAGAAGAACGAGCATTTCCAAGCTCGCCCCCCACGGTGCACAGTGGCCGGAAGAGAGGGAGCCGAACGCCACTCGCAGACGGTCCAGGGCGCGTGGGGCTCTGCCCGGGCTGCGGTCCCCTTTGTCTGGAGGGAGGAGTGTTTCACGGGAGCCAGACTCCAGGCCTGGAACCCGGGGGCTGCGGAGACAGGAGACCCGCCCTCCTCTGACATCAGGCTCCTGTCCACCGATGTCACCAAGCGAGGGGCCAGTTGCCTCGTTATGAGGTTATGTGCAGCCTGGACGCCAGGAGGGAGCCCACATGCTGGGCTCGTGGGCGTCCGGCTCTTCCTTCTGGAATCTCCTGCGTCCTGAGCGGAGGGCTCCCTGGGGACTCCACACGGCTGCGTGTACCTCGAGGCGGCCCAGCGCCGTGAGCGGGGACCCAGGGGGCAGCGGGGCCTCCCGGACACCCCGCACACAGGACGCGCCGTCTCATGCCCGGCTGGCTGTCCGCACGCCGATGTGATTTTCCCAACTTCTCCCTGATCCTTCGAGGGCTGAGCAGCAATGACCTCAAGCCTGCACCGGCCGCTGTTCCCTGGCTCCCCTTCCTCTTCCTGGAAACCGCGCTCTCGTCCGCAGCTCGCAGGCCCCCGCCCCCCACCGCGAGGAGCCGGACTCCCGACGGGCCGTTCACTGAGGAGAGAAATCGTGTCACACGTCACAGTGACCCCCAGGCCCCACCCGCTAACGACAGGAGACTTTTCAGAAAGAGCCCGGCGAGGCCGGACGTCCGCGTGGTCGAATCTGCCTTCCTCCGGCGTCAGGCTCAGCGAGCCCGCGGCCACTGCCCTGTCCTGCGGAGAAAGGGCAGCTGAACCGGCCAGAGGCGCCTCCTCCCGCGGGCGGCTCG